CGATTGCATTTATATGCTACCTTTCTGCCAGTGGACTCGAGGCAGTTCAGAGTTCTTAAAATAAAACTCCTGCTTTGTTGAAATCCAGGACTGGAAATGAGGAAAGGAATAATTTTCCCTTTGAAGTGTGATGTTGTCATAGGATGTCCGGTGATTGACAGGTGGGCCATGCTCATTCTGAGCCCTGTAATTATTACCCAATTAGCTGCCTTGAATCATCTGGAGAAAATACTCAAGGAGGGCTTTATCTCATGTGTCCACAGGTGAAATTGCTTAGTTTGGCAAGCACACAAGGCAGGGCAGGGGCGCACAACTTGGATAAAATATTGTGGGGGGAGGGAGGTAAGCCCCGCCCAGCATAATCGATCCCAAGATGCGGCACACACAAGCACCATTTGAATGGCGATGCCCATCAACTTTGGGCGGGCCGGCCTCCTTAAATATTTTATTGAGGGGGGAGGGCTGAAGGGACATTGGGCCCTATGACACAGGAACTTTCCAGTGGTGGCCCTGCAGTTGTGGAACTCTCTTCGTGTTAAGGGTCCCCCTGAGTTGGTGTTTTATTGCAGGTGTATTCTGTACCCTATCACTGGTGCAATAATAGCGCATTAGTGCTGGATTTATACATGACTGTCCACACATAATTAAACTTTATTAGCTGTTCTGCAATGCTTCCCCATTGGTACTGCATTAGTGCTCCTGGAAGGAGAACTCTTGTTCTACAGTGCAACAAAAGTAGAACAATATAGAGAAGAAGAGGATGAGGAGGAGGAGTTTGGATTTGATACCCCGCTTTATCACTACGCAAAGGAGTCTCAAAGTGGCTAACATTCTCCTTTCCCTTCCTCCCCCACAACAAACACTCTGTGAGGTGAGTGGGGCTGAGAGACTTCAGAGAAGTGTGACTAGCCCAAGGTCACCGAGCAGCTGCATGTGGAGGAGCGGGGAAGCGAACCTGGTTCCCCAGATTACGAGACTACCGCTCTTAACCACTACACCACGCTGGCTCCCACTGGCCAGAACATTCATGGTACACGATGATTTAGGTAAGAATTTACTGGGCGTGCTTGATAAGAATGCAAGCAGTATGACTGCCCCAAAACATCTGCAGGTGCAAGCAGTACACAGGATGGTGTATAACTGCCCCAATACCATGAGCACAGGCCATGAGGAATGTGTAATAAAAAGGACATGGGTGTTCAGAAACTGCTGGGAAGTGGTAGCTCCTTAAGCGAGTCAAATGGGGAACAGTCATGATCTAGGGAAGATAGATCAGGGTCAGAGGGAGACAGGATGCCTCTAAAAATGGGGTGAGTGGCTGGGACTGAGATATAAGGCAGCGATCCTAGTTTAGAAGGACCAAAAAGCAAGTGTGCAGTGAAGCCAGACAGGGGTCACAACCCAAGACTGGGAAAGGAATTTTTGCAGACAGTTTCCTTTGGCCTGTTTCCATTTGAGAAGTAGGCTTTTTTTTAAATAGTGCTTACATAAATAGATAAACAGATTGCTGTTTCTTTGTCATCCCTTGAGAATGAATATCTTCTCTAGAAGCTAGGACCCAGATATATATCCCCACCAGATGAATTTATGTGCTACCAGTTGCACGTCAAAAAAATATTTCCCTGACAGGTCTCAACTCTGGCTCATCTGACATCCACTGTTTCCCACTGCTTGTGATGGGTGAGTTTCGTTGGCGGCAGTAACAGATTCATTAACTTGATCTATGAGTCATTCCCTTCTACACTATGTTTTCCCTGCATGGAAGATGGCCATGCATTCTGAGTGACCTCTGGCTGGATCGATGGGTGGCCTTTTCGGAGCCTCTTGCAAAATGTTGCCACAGAAAGTCTGTTCTTGCATCACCATCCCCCAGGCTCCGCTTCAAAAGGAGGTTTGGGTGGCCAGGAATTACTTGCAAAGACTAGGATCTGTTAGTTGGATCATCAATGGATGGGGGGGGGAAATGCTGTGGGTGGTTGAGAGTGTTGTTCAGAGCTGTTCCGCATGTTTCAGAGATGGGTGGACCAGGCACTTCAAAGCAAACCGAACATATGAAGCTGCCTTATCGTGGGTTGTATCCAATGTGATGCTAAGTTAATGTTACTTTGTGGTATACTTGTTGCACCGGTGGAAGGGGAAAGACGAGCGCATTCCTGAAGATTGGTGTGCAGCAGGTTGCACAACAAGAATCAGCTGTTGCCCAACAAGAATCAGCTGTTGTTCCATAAACTTTAGTTAGCACAACTCTTGCATTAGATTCCTTTGTTGCGCAACCGTTCAGCTCTGCCAGAGTTTAAACAGAGAGCCTTGCTTGAGGCGCAATGAACTATACAACTAACCTATCTAGGGCAATATTGCCTGCACTTCTGAAGTTTGGCCATCCATATGTCAGGCGCCAACTCCCAGCAACCAGCATGGCCAATGGTCAGGGATGAGGGGCGGTGCCACCCATCAACATCTGAAAAAGTTCGCCAGTCTTGGTCCATGCCAACTGGTAGTGCCAGTGCTGGACTAAATGGCACCACAGGTAAGGAGCATCTTTGGTGCCTTTGTTCACCTGTTGGATACCTTTTTTTAACGACATCTGTAGCTCATTTTATGACTCAGATGCACGCCTTGCATGCAAAATTTGCCCCTGTCACATAAGATGATAAATGTGCACAAATGCTGTCTGATAAGAACCACTCAGTGTCACTCTCTCTCTCACACACACCATCTGTTGGTCACTGATGTCAAGAATTTTCTTGTGAAAGCTATCTGTCTAAATACATAAATGCATAAATGCATATGCAGAGAAAGGTGGCCCCTGTTGTCAGCCTTACAATTGAAGCTGAACCTTTTGTACTGTTTTGTTTCAGCCGTTGAACGTGAGTAGGCAAGTGGGACCTGCCACAAAAAGTTGAACTCTATTTTCACCTCCTAATAGATGCGTCGGCTTCCTGGAGACTCCATTCCATTCTTCTGTTTGAAAATCTCTCTCTCTCTCTCTCTCTCTCTCTCTCTCTCTCTCTCTCTCTTTCTTTCTCTCTCTCTCTCTATTTTACACGCACACACAAATGCACATACTTCAACTGTCCATGCCTCGTTAGCATGTTCAGACCTCTTTGGGCTGCTTATCTTTTTTGGATGGGGGATAAATTTAGGATGAGATTTTCAGGATTTGTCCCTTGTTCACGTGAATGCAAATTTGGATGGATGGGTCTGTGGAGCTGGCTGGAATCTCATCACTGTCTGCATTTCAACACATCTATCTCTCAGCCCTGTTGTGCAGTTTGGTGTCTTCTGATGCCACTGAGGATTCTGCCATCAATTCTGAATTTTGGTTCACTAGTTCTTAAGTGTGACTACTTGCTCATCACTGCAGGTGAAGCTTCAAGGATTGAATGTAGTGTCAGGAACCTACAGATTCATGTGCAGGTGCCCCCATGTGATGAGACACTGAACTGCAGGTGACAACTCATCTTTATAATCAACATTATTATTATTAAAACTCTCTGGTTTGTTGGTTGGTTGGTTTTTACAAAAAATAAGTCAAAGCTACTTAACAACAGTAAATAAGTAATGTGGGGTGGCGGGTGGCACTGTGGGTTAAACCACAGAGCCTAGGGCTTGCCGATCAGAAGGTCGGCGGTTCGAATCCCCACGACGGGGTGAGCTCCTGTTGCTCGGTCCCTGCTCCTGCCCACCTAGCCGTTCGAAAGCACGTCAAAGTGCAAGTAGATAAATAGGTACCACTCCAGCGGGAAGGTAAACGGCGTTTCCGTGTGCTGCTCTGATTCGCCAGAAGCAGCTTAGTCATGCTGGCCACATGACTCGGAAGCTGTACACCGGCTCCCTCGGCCAATAAAGCGAGTTGAGCGCCACAACCCCAGAGTCGTTCGCAACTGGACCTAATGGTCAGGGGACCCTTTACCTTTTTACTCTAGATATTGTGCATTACAGCTTCCATTAGTCTCGACCAGAATGGTTGATAGCCAGAGATGATGGGAGTTGAAGTCTAAATATCTGGAGAGTAGCGCATTGGCCACACCTGCTGTCATTATTTAAAATATTTTTTCTGCTTTAGACATTACTGTGTTAGTTTGTATGCTGCCCTTCCTGTAAGTACCTCAGGGCAGTGTATCTTCACAACAACCCTGCGAGGTCAGTGGATCAGGGGATAGAGGTTTGCCCAACTCCCGCCCCCAACCCCCCATGAGCCTAACTGCTGAGCAACGCTGAACAGTAAATTTATCATAAAATGTTGTCTTTATATCTAATTAGGATGGGCCAAAGCTGCTGTTGTGAATGTTATAGAATTGACCAGATTCCAATTTATTGCTTCTTAAACACCCTGTTTCCTGCCTGCCTTCCCAACTCCATCTTGCTTGCAATAACAAGATTTTAAAAATCGTATTTACGTGTGGGACAGGACCAAAAAGGCAGCATTGTAGAATTGCAAATGGAAGTGTTTCCTTAAAAAAAAAGGTGCTTGTGTGTGCCCAGATTTTTAAGTGAGCGTGGATGCTTTTTACACGTGCTAACAACATCGCTCCCGGCCTAAAAATTTCCCGACCCTTTCAAGGAAATTAGTTACATTAAATAGATGATGTCAAAGCCAGGTCTGCAGCCTTGTTTACAAAATGTACATGCATGGCTGATGATGCCCCTTGCCCCCCAGTTCCCCGGCATGGTTTTGTATTACCGTTTCCAAAGCCCTTCCAGCGACTAGAGTGCCTAATAACAAAACGGCGGTGGATATTTATTACGTTTCCAGGTTTCTCATTTTCTCCATTTCAAAACAAAACAAAACATAACGTCCTGGAGAGTCTGCATTGCAGCAAGATGGTGATTTGCTGCCTAGGAGACTGTCTTAAGGACTGGCAACCATTTATTTGCTGTGCCCTGCCGGCGACCTTGTGTCTTTATGGGCAACGCCTCTTTGTTAGACTCCCAGCGTCCTCGCCGCACGCGAATGAACTTGGATGGCTGTTTGCAGATTAACTCAGGATCAATAGTGGGGTCAAAGGGCGAGCAAGAATAAATAATCAATCTGGAGGGAATAAATTAAGGCCTTTCTCGGGTTATTCATGGACGGCCTTCATCTCTCCCAAGTACTCCTTAGGCCAATTAATCTCCTTCGTTTAATTTACGCCTCCCAGCATCTAATAGCAACGAAGGTCGTTTCTTTTGAACCAGCCTGAAAATCGCCAGCTTTTTGCTGCTACTCACAAGTCAGTGGGCAATTTGGTACAGCTGCTTACAGCTCCACTTCTCTAGGGACGAATAGGTATAATTCATCCTATCCTGCGCATGCAGAGATGTGTGAGCAGATGGTGACCTATAAAGCAAGGATAATGTGGGGTCCTACAGGTGGTGTTGGACTACAAATCCCATCATTCCTGATTGTCGCCCCTGCTGCCTCCGGCTTGTGGGAGCTGTAGTCCCAAACATCCCCTTCCATAAGGCATTCCGGAGCCCTTCCAGCCAACCTGCAGCCAGGCATACTACTACATCATCCGTTTATTTGTATGCCGCTCTTCCACAAAATTGTACCTGAAGTCAGTGGCGAAGCTGCATGCTCCGGCACCGGGGGGCGGAGAGCAGGTGGGGGCGTGGCTGGCGTGCATCCTGGGGGCATGGTGTGCCGTCCTGTGGGGCATGGCGTGTGTCCTGGGGGCATGGCATGTCACCAGCGGGGGCATGGCATGAGTCCTGGGGGCGTGGCGCACCACCCGCACCTCCTGCTCTAGAGGGTAGGACTCGAACCAATGGCTTCAAGTTACAAGAAAGGAGATTCCAACTAAACATACGGGGGGGGGGGGAGAGACTTTCTGACAGTAAGAGCTGTTCGGCCGTGGAACGGTCTCCCTCTGGAGGTGGTGGACTTTCCGAGAGCCAGTGTGGTGTAGTGGTTAAGAGTGGTAGTCTCGTAATCTGGTGAAGTGGGTTCGCATCTCCACTTCTCCACATGCAGCTGCAGGGTGACCTTGGCCTAGTCACACTTTTCTGAAGTCTCTCAGCCTCACTCACCTCACAAAGTGTTTGTTGTGGGAGAAGAAGGGAAAGGAGAATGTTAGCCGCTTTGAGACTCCTTCGGGTAGTGATAAAGCGGGATATCAAATCCAAACTCCTCTTCTTCTTCTTCTTCTTCTTCTTCTTCTTCTTCTTCTTCTTCTTCCTTGGAAGTTTTCAAGTAAAGGTTGGATGGCCATCTGTCATGGATGCTTTAGCTGAGATTCCTGCATTGCAGGGGGTTGGACTAGATGAACCTTGGGTCCCTTCCAGCTCTAAGATTCTATGATTTTTAAACCACTCTGGGAACTGTAGCTTTGGGAAGGGAATAGGAAACCTTCTAAAAACCCTCAGTAACCTTAACAAAACTACAAGTCCCAGAATTTTGCAAGCGAAGCAATGATGTTTAAAGTGGTATCATAGTGCCTTCATTGTGTGGTATGGGTGTGGTCTGAATGTACCTCACAGCTCCCCCCCCCCCATCATTGGCTGGAGTTACACCCCATTTCCCAGTAGGTAAGGCAACTGAAGGAAACAGCAGAGAGTGGGTTTGGCCCTACATGCCTAATTTTAGCTTGTTTAGCACTTGAGAGAGGATTAGCTAGGCTGTGGTTAGCTGAGCTTATTTTCCTCTGCATTACATGTGAATTGTTCATGCTTTTATAGCCTTTAAGGAAAATCTTAGAATGACTTGGGGGATGGCGGGTATTAAGCATCAAAGGGTAATCCAACCACATTTATAATTTCTCTGAACATCTCTGCAGAGGAATAAATATGATTTCTGGATACCTTATCATTTCTTCATAGGTAATTTGGCCGCACCAAATATAAAATAAAATAAAATATTAATTATCCACATTTTCTCTTCTTCTGCCACAGGGTTTAATGATATGCACCCTGTCGTAGATCTCTGCTTTGCCTATGAAATGCAATTACCGCTCCCTCCTGCTTTCAAAGTGAAGGCAGATGTTATATGAAAATTTACAGCTGCAATCAGCACTCGACAGGTTATGAACCTAAATCAAGGCAGCAGCAATAGTTGGGGGGGGGGGGGCGCTGGATCCTGTATCTGGTGTCTGGTTGCAGTTTAGGAACCAGAAGCCCCAGTACAAGCCGTTGGCTAGGATAAAAGGACAAACAAGGAGGCAGAGTCAATTTGCTGTCAGCTCCCCCTGAAGTCAGATTTCCCTTTCTTTGATGGAGGGGCCACCCTCAGAAGCATTTCTGTCTGATGAGCCTATGGGGTCAGCATCCCTCTGGCCTGATGGTGTGGCATTGCTGTCCCTGGACTCCATCTGCCTGTAGAACATCCCCTGCTCAGTTCGAGTAGGAGATGACCGGAGCAGGTTGGGTGTCTTTTACTGAAGAATCACCTTCCAGTGCAGGTGGAGCTAAAAGCTAGGATGCTGCTGTCACTGTAGGGCTCAGACTTGTCTTGTTTGTGGCCGAAGCAACAGCAGAGGTCTCTGTGGCCGGAGTAATAGTGAGCCCAAACCAATGAACCACCAGGGATACAGCAACACAGCAGAGACCAAGAAGACCTTGTTGCTTAAGCAAGACTGGAGGAGGAAGCCCTCTTCTATTCATCCCTGTTTAGGAAGTTCTGGTGAGCAGAGTCATTTCAGGGCTGAAAGGTACTTCAATGAGCAGTACTTTGGGCTCAGACCCCCCCCCCAACACCTTTAGGACCACCTCCCCACATTTGAACTGACCTGGACTCTGTGATCATCATCTGAGGCTCTTCTCCATGAGTCCCCACCATGGGAGATCTAGAGGGTGGCAACATAAGAGTGGACCTTTTCTGTGGTAGCTTCCTGTTTGTGGGCTACTGGCCCCAGGGATGCCCTGCCTGACCCCCATATTACTTATCTTTAGGTGCTAGGCAAAAGCATTTCTTTTCTGCAAGACCTTTGTCTTCTCATTATCCTTGGCCTGCTTCAGTGGATGGGCTGTTTTAATCCTGCCTTTTAGTGTGTGTGTGTGTGTGTGCATGCGCGCGCGCACACACAATCTGTCTATCATCTATCTATCTATCTATCTATCTATCTATCTATCTATCTATCTATGTGCCTGTTTTAATATATGGATTACTTATTTACTGTTGTTACTGTTATATGCTGATATGCATATATCTATATATCTATATATATATATATAGATATATAGATATATAGATATTACACGCCTCTGACCGGCAAGTCCTAGGCTCTGTGGTTTAACCCACAGCGCCACCCGCGTGCCAATATCTAGAGGTGTGAGGCCAAAACATTTGTCACAGGGAGACTGCTTAATGTATCTCTGTATGATTGCTTGCTCTCTGTTCTCATCAGCTTTGACTGTGTGGGGTTTGGTAGCATTTGCACATGCTCACATTAGGTTTGAGAGGATCAGTTGCTACAGGTACAAAACATAACTAGCTGTGCTTGGGAGCAGCACACCCACGATAAGAAACTCACAAAGAGACACATAAGGTGCACTCTTCTGACATAAGTCAGTCTTCATTGTGCATAGCCAAGGGCCTTACAATATCTAAAATGTAGACATACCTACACGGTACACAAATTAAAAGAAAACTCAATATGGAAAATTACAGAACAATCACTAATAGCTATGTATTCTACCCTCCAAGGGCAACAAAATGTTGAATTAAGATTTAGAACGCATTGCAATTCTTAATATAACTAGAGCACAGCTTCTTAGCTGCCAGTGAAAATTTAGCTGCCAAATATGTAATGTGCAATGGTTTATCAGAAAGAAGTTCAATTAGCACTTCCTGAGGTGATTGGTCCGCCTACAACTGAAGGGAACAGAGGGCAATGTTTTTCCACTGGGGTCCAAATGGGAAGAACAGCAAATAGTGCATAGTATCGCCAATCTGATTACAATCAAATATACAATTCCATTCTGAGACCGAGATTCCAAGATGTCTCCCATCTATATATGCTGAGAGCATGTTCTGGAACCTAAGTAATATAAAAGCCCTGTCTGAAAGTGATGGCGCTTTGAATGATTTGTCTTGATTTGGGGGTACCAGATGGAAAAGCAAGCAACAACTATTTCAAGGTCAAGTGATTCTCTGGCTGAGGTTCCTTTTAAACATGACAGCAGCTGCTGTTTTATGAGTTTATTTCCATGTTTGGCAGGAGTGTCCAAGGACTCCTGCTCCCATCAGCACTAGCCAGCATGGCCAATGGACAAGAATGATGGGAGCTGTGGTCCATCATCACCAGAAAGGCAAGGGTCTCTAATCACTGCTTTAGTGGCTCATAATATGGATGGAGGCAACCGCGCGCATCTTTAACATCAAATCATCCCAACCCTGATCTGGCTGCCGTGTTTTCACATTGAGTGAGCCCCAATCTCTGAACAGTGAGAAACTCCAGCACTTTCCCAGCATTTAGTTTCCTTGAAACGAAGGTCAGTTGAGACTGTGATATCTTTAGGACATGTTGTTTTACTAGCTGGGAGTGCCTGGTGGTTGCTGCTCGGGTATTTTGAGATGTTTAAATGGATAGTGCAATTTGTGAATTTGGACCTGCCATGCCAAAAATGGGAGGAGTTGCACACAAGTCACAATTTGGTCTGCCACCTTGATTCAAAATGGCGTCCGGCATCCAAACTTCAACAATCTTGGGAGCCTTTGTGCCAATTTTGGCAATGATATCTGCTTACCTGTAATTTCTATAAAGGTGGTCGAATTGGATTGGTGACCCCCATTCTCTCAAGATTTCTAAGTGCGATTTTTGAATGTATCTGGTCTACCTTTTGGCAGAGTCAAACAAATGATTAACAGAGATGGTTGCTAGATTTCTCCTTCTGGCTGTAGAAACACAAAAGGAAATCTCCCCCAATTAAACTCATCCCATCCAGTTGCTATTCTCATATACTACACTTTTTAATCTGGTTATATCATTTATTGGCTCACTCCTAGCTGCCATATTTTAAGGTATCGTGTTGGACGTCATATTTATACATGTTTTAGATACTCCTGCTATTTTATACCATTTATATGACAACCCACTTTAATGTATTTTTATGCTTTGATATTTTACTTGTACAGTTGTTGGTTTTAGTTTGTTTGGGTCTACAGTGGTATAATAAAGAATTTGTATCTTACTATATGGGCTTTTCCTAGATTTTTATGGATTTATTTCCATCTTTTAGTTTGGAGTGTGTGTGGGGGGGTTTAAGGGAAAAAACCCTAAACATGGAGTTCATTAAATGCTTAATATGCATTCCACCCCCCAAAAAGCTAATGAAGTATCAGCTTAAGCGCACATTTTATGACCCACCAATAAACATGGGGCAACTGATTAGCCTCTGGCTCACTTGTCTGAAAGATAAATTGAACTACGATTGAAAGAAAGTTAATACAATTTAACTGCTAATATTGCAAATGTCACTTTAATTCAGTTACGGAGCAATTAGAGTGACCACTTCTGTGCCTGCATTCAAGAGTTATAGCAATTACAACCACGTGCAATTATCAGCCTCATTTAACCAAGATGCTTAAATCTAATTGATGCATGAAAGGATTAAGACCATAGAGTAAGCTATCCTGCCAGGCATAGCTCACCTTGGAAGGCACTAAGTAATCAAACCATTGTTCCTCTTCAGTCTACCTGGTGAACTCAGCATGTGAAGAAGCTAAGCTGGTTGCTTCAGCTTAGCCGCATGGCTTTCACAAGCCATTCTTGAGTTCCTGTTGCAAGGCATTTAACGGATCCCTCTTCTGCCTTGAAGTTGGGCACTGTGACATCATTGAGCAACCCCACATTGTACCTTCCGCCTTCTCTAATGTAAAGCTTTAATGAGCAAACAGCCATAGATGGTGGCAGCAGTGGTGCAGTTAGATAAACTTAGATTGTAATGCATATTACTGTACTTCAGAGTATGGTAAACACGAACTCCTTCTTAGATGGATGAATAGGAAGCTATCCCTCACATTCTAGTCCAGTACATTTTGAAGGTATGAGACTTTTGAGAAATAATTCATCCCCAATATACTTTCAGGTTCTCCCCCACCCAAGACACAATGAAAACAGAAGGAAATGCTGATGAGCTGAGGATTTTCACCATGTGCTGAAGAGGCAAGCCATTTGCTGCTTTAAACTTTTCAGCAGCACACACAACTCCAAATTCATAGAAACCTACAGTTGTGGCATTGTCAGCCCTCCCACCCTGTGCTCTTAAAGTGCTATCAAACTGCAGCTGCTGAAGATAAACACAGAATAAAAAGTGGCGGCCTTTAAACCAGCACAGCAGTCCTAACAGGAGGTTTCAAAACATGTTCAACATGCCCCAAACTCTGATTGGAGCGTCCTGTGGATCTTTAACTCAAGCATTTGCTTTCTCAGTCTGCCTTTTAAAATAATCTGACATGAAGTGGGCTATTATTTTTGTTTTCTTGCTGGTGTCTCTGGCACCTTGAAGGTCTTTCCATCTACCAGATTTATTTTCCAAGAGCAGGAAGTTCTGACTAGGTTCAAGGGCTCCACCTCGTGGCCAGCCTGCACTATTAGAAGCTGTATGCTTTTTAGGGTCTTGGTCTGCACCCACCATGTTAAAGCACTCCCCCCACAAAAAAGAATCCTTGGAAGTGCAGTTTACCTCTCAAAGAACTACAATTCCCAGCATCCTTGGACAACAGTTCCCAGGATTATTGGGGGTGAGGAGAAGGTGCTTTATATGTATGGTGTGGGCACATCCTTTCTATTTTAGGAAAACCAGACCATAGGATGCAGAGCTGAACCTAAAATGGCCATTCTATGTGACAGCTCTCAAAAGTGAGGAGAAGGCAACTATGTCAATTTCAGCAGTCTCACTGGGACAAGCCAAAAGTGGGCTATTCCCTTCTGGAATCGCTGTGGCTGTTCCATCTTGTAGGCATTTAAAAAGATATATATACTAAATTCATTTTACTCTTCTTTCCACTTTCTTGTCTTCCTTTGGCATCATGTTTGGGCAAGATTTCGTCTGTGTTATTTTTTGTTACCCTGCTTAGAACTTTAGACAGCTTGTGAACAATAAATTGTGATTGATTGTACTATCAGCTAGCAATAATATTCAGTGCTATTGCACAGTATTCTAGAGGAGAGCAGGGTGGAAATTCAATCTGCAAGTTGGGAATCTGGATGGGAACCAACCTAATTTGCACGTCCTGAAACAATATATGAACCAAAACACAGCTTTCTTTTGGCATTCACTTTCCCGAATGTTCTGATGTAATTCTCCAGCCATATAATGTGTACAAGCATTAGTGAAAACAGCATACAAAAAAATCCTATAAGGGGAACTGACCCCACAAGATTGTGAGCATTAGGCATACAGAAATATGTTGTAAGAGAAACAGACTCTAAAACGCGGACAAATTTTCATGAGGACTTTAAAGAAATCCATAAACTCATATAGAAATGTGGACAACTGGGCTAAAGACTGGAAAAATGAGAAACAGAAATTGACAGATTTATCCATCCCTATCTGTAAGCGGCAAAAGGGGTGTGTGTGTGTGTGCGCGTAGAGAGAGAGAATGAAAGCATGCGTTGTAATTCCCCAAAGGGATCCCATATAAGTTGAACCCACAATGAGCAAACGTCCAAAACTTTTAAGTGGTATCATTAATTACAAAACAGACAGTTTAAAAGAAAAGAAAGAAACAGTGAAAGCTTTAAAATGAACGTGACTGATGCTCTGACCTTTGGTTTTGGACATTCAGGGTCAAGCATGTGGCTCAGCTGGAACGATGGAGTCCGTATGCATTTGGTGAACAGATGCCTTATGTTAACCACAGAGGTATATGGAAACACACTCATTTATACCCAGTTCCTTTTAAAATTCTTTATTATTTGCCACCAGGAAACATTAGTATGAGTGATCAACAAGCAGATTAACAACTCCATTTGACAGTCATTTGGAATCCACAGTCACTTTTTAATTATTATTTACAGACAAGAAAATACAAAGCCCTATTATCCCTGTTTGTTTTGTACCTCTTTAGACAGACAGAATGTCTGACTTAAGTAATGGTCATGCCAAGGCTGGGAGAGGGGGCAGAACCCTTTCTGTAAACATGGCACTTCAAACCAAAAGTGAGGAACCAATTTTTGGCCTGCAGTCACCCTTGCCTAACCCTCCAGCAGCTGCATTCCAGTGATGGGCACAGCCAAGACAAGAGCTTGCATGGCCATTAAAACACATACCAACAGGTAAGGTAGCTGTGCACATGCACCAGAGGTCCCTACAGCCACATAAAATATAAGCAAGATTTTCTCACTGCCTTCCTCTTGATCATTGTCCCGAACACTCCAGTCAGAACCAGCTGATTTCGCTCTACTGCAACAGTTAACAACGATGGATCTTCAAATAATGTTGGATGGCTTCAGCAGCTCCTTCTTCAGTGACAGCTTTCAAGAACCCCTAGACTGAATCTCACACAGCCTATGTTAATTTGCATCTTCAGCTGAACAGATGCATATATGTATTTTAAGAGAAGGAAAAACACAAGGTGTTCAGATCCTTCAGTAGGATGGAATTATTCATGATTCTCTCAGCTTTCCACATTAAAAAACAACAACAACTCAGCTTTCTTCAGCTTCTCCCTGTTCCTACCCAAGCAAAGACATGGATGAAAGAGAACAAAGGAATTACTAGGGGATTTGTTTCATGAGTGCTGGGGGTTATGTGAAAGGACAGTGAGGCATTCACTATGAATATGCTTTGTTGCTTAATCAGTGGAAGTTCCTCTCCAACAGGACCCTGATGATTTCTGCCCACACAATGCCATGCACAAGAATGGGGGCTTTTAAAAAAATGCAAGCTGTATCCTTGCAAAATACAATTATCACCACATATACAGCATATTACTAAGTAGCAGTAAGTTGCTCCCCAGCGTGAGGAGATGCGTGTCACACAAAGGAAAAAGGAGCAAGAATGGATGCAATTAACCTAATTATTGGAAGGGCTGCCCAATAAAGGACCCAAAGTCATTTACTACAGTCATCAATGAATCACCTCTATAATATGGCATGGTCTCACTTGGTGTGTGTGGGGGCACTTCCTGCCTTCCTTTATTCTGAAGGCCAGAAATTTTTGGTCTCAAATCTTCAGTGAATATTTTTTGCTTATTTACCCAGTTCAGGATACAAGGAAAATGGCACATACAAGCAAACTTACTTGTGACATATGCCTTATGTAGTTCTAGAAAGCTCACAACTTCCATTAATTTGTAGGTAATTTGTAAAGCTTCATAACTTTAATAGCAGTCATGCTTTTATCTCTTGAAAACCTTTTTTTTTTTAAAAAAGAAAAAGACAGTTTCCACAGGCTGCTGCCTGGTTTAACCAGAAAACACAATCCTTCGTATGATATAATTATCAGACAGAGAACTCCTTTTTGCAATGTCTCTGAAATTCTATGCATTTGTCTATATCAAAGCAGTAAAGCATAGCACTGCTGAATGTTTTTGGCATTTAGACTTCAAAGTGACACATGCTGAGAGGAAAGAAAGTAACAGCAAATTGCAAAAAAGAAGAGCCAATGAGACAGCTTAGAAAATGTGCTGAGTTTAATCTACTAATAAGTTGACTAATGCAAGCACCACTAAAATAAACTTACTGGTGGACTGGACCCACTGACAAGGCTCAAAACGTAAGCCAACTCCACAACGGGATTCAGCTCTTAAAAAAACTTCCCAAGACGGCTTTCTTTCACTTGACCAAACTTCTGTCCCCTTCACTCTCATAGGGCCCCTCGAGAATTGCAAAGAGCACTCTACAGCCTTGAGAATCTGATCATTTTTGTCTTTAGCTAGCTAGATCGCATTGCTCTGCTTCTAATATACAATGCACTCTATGGAAAGGCAACGTTACCATATGCTTCACTGCGATTCCCTATAAGATAATCATCCAAAGGATTCCTGAAAGTATAACAAAGGCATTCTGAAAACATAGCAATAGTTCCCTTGCCTTATTTTCTGCATTTGCATTATGATGCTTTCAACAGAGGGACATTGAAATACCAAACAAGTATCTACTCCACAACAGAAGTCAGGCATCAACCTTGCGGTTCAATTAAGAAAAAAGGGCATTTAAACACATATTTTCTAAAAAGCTAGGGAGCATCTTTTGAAAACAACCTATAAAGCAATCTGGACAAGTGATGCTTCATGAAAAACCACCCGTATTATCTTCTCTGATAAACTGGGGCACTTGGAAAACAGAAAGTGACATGAATGTTGCATGTTTGATATTCATCCTGCAAGCCCATTTTCACGCTAGTAAATGCAGTCACAAAGGCAGCTATCTAGTTTGTCAACTCCACACACTGACTTCTAGCATCTTGCTGGAATTTTAACTTAACTGCAAACTATGGATTCAAGAGTGTTAAGGGTCGCACAAAGAAGCAAATGGCTTCTAAACTCATTCCAATGGCAACAGAGTTCATGTCAGATTTCGGCTCCTATGTATCGTGCAAGAAAAAGCAGTGTTCCCAAATTAACTTACCATTAGCATCATCAGCTACAGGCATTTTCTCCATTACTGTATACAACAAAGTTGTTGCTCTGCAACTCGCAACTTATGTATTTCTGCCTTACCAAGTGTAGTCTTCATTACAGAACAACTTAGTTCTCAATTATATAATTCCATCACCAAGATATCTGAGTGATGTCTACAGTGCCTGTCTCCCAGTAGTGTTACAGGAGAGGGAAGTTTATATAGTTATTTAAAAATAATGCATATAGGGCTTTCTGATCCTTGGAGAGGGAGGAGCCTATTTATTTTTAAAACTGCCTTCCTCTAGCACTCCCTCATCCCCACAGCCATTTTTAAAACTGCTCAATTTGCTTTCTTTCAGCTTTTTCAAATAATCATGGGGCCCTTTCCCTTCAAAAGAAGAAGGGTTTTTGTATGAGCCCCCAATTCTATCCCAGAGTGTAAAATACTGGCCATAGTTGTAATCAAAGTACAAATGGTGATCAGTGTGATGGGCGGCACCATTGATAATTTCCTTCAGTATGCCAGGAACATGATAGTCCCCGTCATGGATGGAGATTGTCCAGATATTGACGAAGACATAGAGGCCCAAATAGGTCATCTTGTGCAGGGGAAAAAGGAATGGGTAGATGTGATAAGGGACGCTTTGAAGGAAGCCATCCATGGGGTGAAAAGCATGGCTTGCAAATGGAGTTGGGATCTTCCACAGGTGATGGGGCTTGTGCAAACGCTGTGGAAGGAAAGAGAGGAATTAGAACCTTAGAATAAAAACAAGAAAGAGCCCAGAACACTTTCACTTTAATACAGCAACAGAAAGCGTCACCCGTCGCAAGGAAAGAACATTCTGAGATGCCCAGACAGAGAGGTGGTGGATTATTTGTGTGTGTGGCTACGACAGGTATGTGAGAATCAAGCTAGGCTTTTATTTTATTGAAAAATAAGATGGCAAAGATCACAATTCTGCTACATGAACCCCTGGCCCGGCTACATTTAAAACCTAGTTCACAGTCTTTAAAAAGCAAAGTGTGGAGAGTTGATGGGTGGAAAGAGAGATACAGAAAAGGGAAATGTAACTGTCAAATTGGACCACACTTTCCATAAGGAAGAATTAACGCATCTAAGGCTTTTTAGTTTAGAAAAAAGAGAGACAACTACTATCAAGTTATTTGGTGAAAAGAGTGAAATCCATATATTACTGAGTGTCTGAAATACTTCCTTTTGTTGGGCTACATCAATTTCTTTCTCTGTGCTATTCATGATTTATACATCTGTACTATGTCTGTCCTTGCAGCCACTATGTTCTGTCCTATGTTTTGATTACACTTTTTAAAACTTTTCTTTTAAAGAAAAAGTTCCATTCTCTCATCATTTTTGCCACCCTTTTGGATAACTTTTCCAGCTCTACTATACTCCAATGCCTTGAGATCTAGCACCACAATAACGGTACCCCCTTAGCAGTTGGAGAAAGGTAACTCCTTGGTTTTCTTTTCTTATTGCCATGCTGCACCAACCTCGGGGCCGTACCATCCTTTGCACTTGATCCTATCAACAGTGGGCTGCTGGTGCTAATCTTTTAGTTCTCTGGCTTTTCCTGCAAGTTAAGCAAGTAGCCTCTAGGGCCAGATGCATATTCATAAGTTTCCTACCTCAAAGTATACATTTATCACACAGCTTCACACACATCTGCCTTGAATCCTATTATTAGTGGTCTACAGTAAAGCAAGTTATGTAGACACTGAACCGAGAAATTAGACTCAAACAGCACAACTCAGAAAAGCTTAAGAAGCAGCGACATGCTACCTGGCTTACCCTACTGCTGCATATGACCACATAACTGATTTGCTGCAGAGGAAACAATGCTAGAGAAGAGCACAATGGATGCAAGTGTTTCCTATCTCCAAACTGGCTGATCCTTGTAGGAACTCTAGAAAAGCCTTCATGGATCAGACTGAGGTACATCTACTCTAGCATTCTATTTGCACCAGCAGCCAGTCAGAAGCAAGGCATGAAACTGAGGGTCCTTCCCTGCCTTTTGTCTCCAGCATCTGGTAATGAGGGATATACTGCCTTGATACATGGAGAGTCCCTTCACTCCACCCTCATCTGCACATGGAATGCATCCTCCAGATTGGGTGCACCGTTCTCTAAGCATGTCTTACTATTTAACACTTTGCCATACCTTATACAAAAGCTTATGATGGAGAAATCGATGAATCCAGTAGATACACATATCAGTAAAGAAGAGGAAAGAGAGCATGCTGAGGATAACACCAAACCAACCTAGAAAAAAAAGAAAGGCGTGAGTTTCTTTTTTAAACAGACATTTAAGAATGTTTAGAATATTTCTGGATTTGTACACTATTGGATTATGAAAACAAAAAGTAGTTTTTATGAAATCCATTTTGAAAGAAGTTTCCTTACTTGAGCCTTTGGCAACACTGAATCTCAAGCAAACAGAGCTAATTAATACATTGGAAAGGATCTGAAGGCTAAAGAGATAAAACCTGAAGAGCAACTCCAGCCGGACAGTTTACCATGGCAAGGTGCTCAAATAAGTACAAAGGTGCTTTAGAAACAAATATTGACTAAGCCGAAGGCACTGCTTTAGATGTTGCTGACCTACAACAGGAGCTCAGAACGTCTGGCCTGCAGACCATTCTTTGCCTTCCAGGGGGTTCAACTTGGCCACTTCTTTGCTAAACTGTTTCCCCATGTCAATCAGACAATGTCATCTGATATCACTTGTCAATCATCTGTGGTCAACTGAATTGTTGTACCCTTGCCACAGCAACTTCGGATGCTGATTGCTCTCTCCATGGCTAAAAGGTGAGCATAATAGATATTCTCAGACACACATAATACTTTGCCTCACTCACACATGGCTGGCTCATGACCAGCCCTGTCCTCTTGTTAAGGCTGTTGCTAAGGGCACTCTGGGAGCTTCTTTCTCCTTCACTTTCTCCAGATGAGAAGTGCCTGATACGGGATTTCACTGGAAGCCTCATTACTTTGTAAGCAACTTTTCTCCCTACAATTTGCGCGCTCTGTGTGTGTCTCTGCCTTTTATATGGGGGTGAGTAATATGTGGGCTGAAATGCTGTTGTAAAGCTGCAGCGGAAAAACTCCCCATCCCAAGGAGGTTGCTGAGTGATCTGCCCAGGTGCCCAGAAGATGAGCTGAGTCAGAGCTGAGAAACAAATTTGAGCAATACTTCCCTTGTGTGGAGTAAGCTTATTTTCTTCTGTTCCAGATTGGAGGACACAAACTAACTGATCCAATTTATAAGAAAGGAGATTCTGACTAAACATTGGGGTGGAGGGGATTCTGATAAGTGCTGTTTCACAGTGGAACAGACTCCCTCAGAAAAGACTCTCCATCCTTGGAGGTTTCTAAGCAGAGGTTGGATGGCCATCTGTCAGGGATGTTTCAGCTGTGATTCCTGCATTGTGGTGGGTGCGCTGGACTAGATGACCCTTCTGTCTCTACAAATCCCATGAGTTCCTCCACGATAATGGCCCTCATTATTCTCCATAAAGTAGGGTTAGGTGCATTTTCTTCCATGCATGTTTAAGTGTAAGGGAAGCCCACAAAAGCTGCACATCCTGGAAGAATTCTGTTGGGGAAGGAAGCAGTGGCAGCCCACCTCACAGCACTGGCTGGAGAAGATCTCCTAATAATTATACCCTTATTACCTGCATGGCAGGTGAGCAAGATTCAGCAGTGGCATAAATATCCCATGACAGACAGTGGAGATAGTTGCCCATCTGGTGCTTCAAAGTAAATAGCAGGGTGTTTTTTGCTCTCTGCGCTGGTGGTCAGTGTGAAGGCAAGGCTGAAATGAGGGGTGTGCAGTATAGCCTGAGACTGAGGAGGGTGTGCAATTGAAAAGCTAGCTCAGGGACTGGATGGCCATCTCTCAGATATTCTTCAGCTGCAATTTCTGCATTGCAGGGGTTGGACTAGATGGCCCTTGGGGATCCCTTCGAATTCTACATTCCTGTGATTCTACTGTCCTTGCCAGCATCTGTTCAAGTTGTGGAAGGAATTTGAAGGAGAGAAACAGCAGGTGGGGTTTTGCACTCTATCTTTTCCTGCTTTTGCACACTCAACCCCTTCCCTCCCCAAAACAAGGACAATGGGGAAATATCAGAGCTCAGTGGTAGCGCATGCAGAAGGCCCCAGCATCTCTAGGTAGTGCTGGGAGAGACACTTGCCTGAAACCCTGGAATGCTGCTGCCAGTCTGTGCACACAGTACTGCGCTAGATGGACTAATGATCTGATTCCCTTTGTTTCTAGTGCTTGGGCTTTAATATGCATGTCATATGTAGCAAGGTCCCATGAGAAGAAATAAATAAGAGGCCATCCTATGTACAACAAATGGTGGTTAGAAGAAATGAGAAATAAGTTACATAAAGTGGACTCTTGAGGTAAGGAAAGGACAGAGACTTTGACCCAATAAAGAGGACATGCTAAGCAGTTTCCTTACCATAAGGAGAGTCTTCAATGTTATCATAGAGTTTGCTGTAGCCTCTGACTTCAGCAAAGAAGATGGCAACCGTGGGGATACTGATCCATGGCATTGATTTGAGGGTGTATTTGATTTCACGCTGCACTTGATTCTGAACACAGGAGAAGACACTTTGTATAAAATAATATCCTGCACATTTACAGCATTTTAGAAAGTTTAGCACAAATATTATCTCAGTAGTCCTTTTAAGGCAGAGACGTATTGTTATCTGCATACTGCAGGTGAGATGCTGAAGCAAAGAGAGGATTGTCTAATGTCACATGACAAAATGGCATTTGAAACTGAGATTTCCTAGCTTAGTTTTTGCCAGTACAGTACGCTGCTTTGAGAAGCATGCATGTTTTAAAAACGTAAGTATCTATTTTTCCGCAAAGCAGAAAGATAAACAGGTCATGTTTCTTTGTGAAAAACCTTGTTAAAAGGACTCATCTCAGACAGATGAGGTTTACTAGACCTGGTAAGGAAAGGCAAAACCTACTCCCAATCAGGTAACAATGCTTGTGGCCGAGCTAGCTGTGAGATTCCTAGGACGCCGCCCCTTACTGTTGCCTGCATTTTGCTTTAGAGCAGGCATAGGCAAACTTGGCCCTCCAGATGTTTTGGGACTACAATTCCCATCATCCCCGACCACTGGTCCTGTTAGATAGGGATGATGGGAGCTGTAGTCCCAAAACATGTGGAGGGCCGAGTTTGCCTATGCCTGCTTTAGAGTTACTACCCTGGGGATCTATACTTATGGCAAAATAGCTGCGAGGCTCTGCTTGCTTCCTTTCCCCCACAAAACTACTTTAACCTCACCCAAAGAGCTTTCCTTCACTAGAAGAGCTAAATCCCAAAGTTCAAACCCCAGTATCTCTTAATTAAGGAGGATACCACATCTCAAAGCCTGTGAAAGACACCTGCAAGAGATTTAGAGAGCTGCTGCCAGTCAGATGGAAACTTGTTAGGCTAGATCAGAGTTACATAATCCAGATGTTGCTGTACAACAATTCCAATTGCTGCTGGCCACTGGGAATGCTGACTGGATGTTGAAGTCTGACATCTGTGAAGCCCTAAATTAGGTACTAGATAATCTTACTTGGAAAGTGAGTAC